CCGGTTCTGAAATCAAACTTTTTTCCTTAGACTCAGTTAACTGCAGTTCAGGATCTCAAAAGGTCTGTGCGTGGCTGGCCAGTTAGCTTGCTTGGGACAGTGCAGTGCTGGTGACGCCAAGGCCAAGGGTTTGGATCCCCGTACCAGCCAGCTGCCAAAAAACAAGCTCTGTGTGGTTGACTTCCCACGCTGCACAGGTGGGCGACCAAACTAACGGACATACGAATGAAGGAGGCAAAGAGATTCCAGGTCCAAGCCCCGGACTTGCCACTGCTGCTGTGAGAAGCAGAACCCAAGAATCCCCAGGACACTCTCCTTGAAGATCTCTTGTCCCTAGACTGAGGGCCTTTGTGTCTCTATGCGCTCCGGGACTCTGGAAATCTGTAAGCATGATGACCTCATAGAGCTGCAGGCTGGGAGGTCTATGCAGAAATCTACATAAGGAACAGTGTGTGCCAGGGGTCGTGGCTGCCAGCAAGAGTCAAGAGCATCCTGCAACCATGAGCAGGATGTCAGGCCCACCGAGATCCAGTCAGCAAAGCCAGCCATCAGCTTAGCAGATAAAGGGGTCTGCGATGGATACCTAGTGTTTTGGCTGCCCAGCAGCCCCTGCTCTATTTTTGCAAACTGTGCTTTCTTCGGGGACTGCCCCCTGCCACGGTTACACCATCTTAAGAAAATACTATCAGCTGGCTCAGGCTACCAAGCTGGACCAGCTGTCATCCACCCACAGTGTTTACAAACTGGAACTAAGAAGCGTGGCTGAAACTGAGCGTGGACGCCGTTAGTAGCCAGGTTCCAAAACGGAGAAAAAACCAAAACAGCAGGCGGGGGGGAAGGCCTCGGTGGACTTCCTGGGTCCCCATCAGCCCTGAAATAAGATGCTCCTTTGTGCAAGAGCTAGTTCAGACTGAGCTGCTGTTACTAACATGGAGTCTGTGGGTCATGAAAAATGAGAACTAGTCCAAGCTAAAGCAATCGCACTGCTGCAAAGATGCCCACCTGTACCAGGTGTCACAACTCCTCTAAACCTAGATATTTCCCATCCGTCCTTGTGTCCCCACAGCACCTTATACCCGACCTAAACCCAGTAAACACCTGTTGAATGTGACCTGAAAATATTCTCCGGTGTAAGAATAATAATTAATAATAATAATAGTAAAACTTTTTTAAAGCACTTTTTTTGGTCTATAGAGCAATAACCATCTGAGTGACCTTCACAAGCTTTCCAGAAGGGCCCTTCTGGGGAGGGGACAGGGATTCACAATGGTGCCAAAATTCAGACAAGGGGTTACTAGAGCAGGAAGTGTTGAAACTCGGGAGATGAAACCACAACTCTTGGAGCAGAGCAGGGCGTCACCAATCCTGGGACAGAACCCTCCACCCACGTGGGACAGGCCCTCCCAGCCCTGGACTCCAGGTCCCCCTCACTGTCCCCCCCCACCCACCCAGCACCAACCATCTCTTCAATCTGTTATCTCCAGGCCAAAATCTCTCTTCCGGCTCCAGCCCCACATTCTGAAATGTCTAACATGCTCTTCTGCTGATGTAACAGCAAACCACCTTCCCCCCAAGCAGCAGCCACTCCTGAGTCCCTGCTGCTGTGACAAACCTCGCTTTCCCAATGATCTATTGTCAAGGTTCCAAACGCCCTCTATGACTGCTGTACAACAGCACACTTAGCAGTCATCGGAGACACTGTCATCATATCAACTGGGAAAATGTTTGCAGTAAGTGTCCACAAAAAGCAAACCAGAGTGTATAATGTGATCATGGGCACCTGCAGATGGTAGTAAAATGGTTAAGCAGGGCTTTGGAGCCAGACAGACCTGGCGCGGTCTGTGACCTGACAGGACTTAAACTCTACGTGTCTGGTTTTTCTCTTGTTGTTTAAATAAAAATAGACTTTGAGTACTTATCTCATGAACAATGTAGAAACATTAAATAAGATAATGGATGGAAAGCGTTTACAGCGTTGGCCGGTTAGCTCAGTTGGTCAGAGCAGGGTGCCGCTAACACCAAGACCTTCAAATTAAATAGATCGACACAAACTAATGTGCAGATAATTCCGGAATGAACTCCCAGGTATTGTCTTGCAAGGGCCCAGTGCCCATTCAGACCCCACTGCCCCAGGTTAGCAAGTCTCTTAAAAAGCTGAAAGACCAGCTTAC